AATAAAATAGATTACTGTGTACCAGACATGAGGGCTGGTAACTCAAATTTTACCAGCCCTACACCCTGCATAAAGACATAAAATACTTCCCTTCCCATTCTGAGTAATATATTTCTCAATTTTAATTGTAGCATTATTTGTATCAGCCATCAGGATTTGAATTCATCAATTAGGATTTTTTGAACATTTCTAAAATGTTTGTTAAGTAGTCGTTACTAATTTGACAAATAGTTTTTTTACGATGTCTCTCTAAGTTCAACTTCTCTACCAGCCCCTCGTACCTGCCAACAGTTGTGCTGTTAAGCTTTGATAACTTGTTTTTAATTAGTTGTCATGTCTTAACCATTAGTGTAAAGTTGTCTAGCGATTGATACTCCAGATTATATTGTAGTTGAGTTGTTGTCAGGGGAGTGGCTTTCTAGTGTGATTAACATTATAATCCTTAGGGTACCAAAGCAAACTTTTGTCACCATCACAAATTTTAAACCTTCATAATTTTTCCAAAATTTTGATCAAAACTTAGAACATTATGTCCATTTGGTCAGAAATTAAAAACAAAATATAAAAAATACATAAAAACAGGCAAAAAAGTAAAAATTATTGTCTCAAAGGGTTAATGGTGGAGTTCAAAAGTCAATCATACAAGGTGTGAGATTGAACATGTATATTTGAGATGTTGACAATTCCTGACAACCAGAGACAATGAAGGCTTGAACTCATGCAAAGTTCAAAAAGTTGAATTTCTTAAGAATAAGTTTAATCTTTAAGATTTTAATTATTCTTAGTATTTCTATTAGTATTATTAATAACAGATTCTTAATGTTTTTTGAGATATCAAGGTATTTAGTTTTATCTCACTCTTTTGATCCACAAAATAGACTTTTAATAAATAGATCATGCCTTCTAGCAACACTGTCTATAACTGGAATGTGTTTAACACTGTTAATATTTTTGATGTGTTGTTACTGTCAATAAAACAGGCAATGTTTTTTCAACGATATTGTTGTCGTGAACAACGTTGCTTCCCATCTGAACTCGAGACCCATGTGAAATGTAACCGAGGTGATAGTCACGGGTCTTCAGGTCAGTGCAGAAAAAATTGAAGTGACCTCTTGATCAGCAGCTATTGTGGTCAGTAGTTACTAGTACACAACTGTAACCAAAAACACGGATGATAACAATAGTGTTTGTACGCTGGTGTCAAAACCACTATTGGAAATCAAGGCAAAAAAGGCTAGAGCTGTTGTGATATTTTATGTCATTTATTATAAGAACCTCTGATTTGAACTGAGCATCATGGAAGACTGCAACTTTGTGCTATTATATACAGCGCCCACACAACCTACAATTAGTTGACAAATATCTATATTAGAAACTATCCGGGCAGTGGTAGAACTACTGTGAAAGTTATGTTTTTTTCCCCTTTACACTGTTAAATGTGTGTGATATTTTTTAATAAACATAAATATTATTATTGATTTCGCCTGTAGAATTTGTTTACTCAAAATGTTTTTTCTGGACAGATCTCCTGCCCCATAATTTCTAATGGCCAACTCTTTTTATGTGTACCTGTATACTTTGTGTAGTGCATGGTCATGGCTGTATTTGCAAATTATACAATATATACAACACCTTGACTACACACCTGGAAACCTAACTACTAGTGTGTTAATTGATCACACATTTTTTAATTGAAATCTGTAGTTGTAAGTTTCTAGTTTCTGTTTGTTACCACACGTTTAATAAGGTTCACTGATTCACTTCAGTATATGTTCATTTTCAGTCTTTGGACAGAAGGAACCTGAGCTCACATTGTACTGGCATAGCTTGTTTTTTTTACATGTAACTCTTTTTTTCAGCTAGCCACAAAGTTTTGTCAGACTTGTGTACATTTAGCAGCAAACATTTTACTAGTCCATTTTTGCGTCGCTTTCGTGAATTATACCAATTTATAGGGTAATTTAACCATTTGTTCGCTCCCAAAATAAAAGAAAAGTGACATCATAAAATCGAATTGTACACAGAAACATTCATTTGTCACACTGACAAGACTGACAAAACAGATAGTAGCAAATAACTGGGTATTGAATATTTGGAAAAATCTATAATTGTGCAAACACTGCTGTTTGAATATGCACCCCATTAATCTGCACATTTTGTGTTATTAAATTTGGAACTGTATGGATTATTTTGGCTCAGTACATGGATTACATTCCAAAATAAAAATGCAGCTTGTGATTTTTTAAATTTAAAAAAAATCCTCTTTAGCCAAGAGAATGGGATTAAATGTCTGTGAAAACAGAAGGTTGTCACTTATATATAACTCATTGTGCACTCTAGTTAACTTTGTTGATCATGCAGCGTGGATATCTGCAGTATGCTCTATTGTCTTGCACCTATTGTTACATTTTCTACGATTGAATAGCTGTAGTGTTTTTCTGTTACCCAGTAGCGGTGATTTATTCTTATAAGTGTCTTTGGTGACTTTATTGTGCCAAATCTCTTGTTCAAAGTGGTTTAAATTTTTACATTGCTTCGAACAAGGCCAGGACTTTGTGGATTAATACGTTTTATTTTACTAAATTAAATTGCTTGATGGTGCATGTATGTATGACGTTATTTTAAAAGTTGTGTCTGATTAATAGTGTTTAGCATTTAAATAATCACTCGCTGTTGACATTTTAGGTTGATATTTTTATTGTAAGTGGCTTAACATTACCAAGAGCTGGGACCTCTGGGTGGTCTTTAAATGTTGTATTAGCAGATATACTTTATAAGTAACCTTTGACCTATGAAGTATTACATGTGTGTGTCATACAAAATGCAACAATTGTTGTATTCTCCAAGGGTCTGAAGTATTTAGCAAATATCCAATCATTAACAAGCATTTGTCTGTGATTGAATTTTTTGCAACTTTTGTTTAAGTCGCTCAAATCAAACCTTCAACTTTCTGAGCAGCAATTTGAATTAAATGACCTTACTAATACATGTTGTAAATTATAATTCGATGTGAAGAATTACTGCTGAACACTCATATTTCTGTACATAATGTACTTTTAGATCCCGTTTTACTAAATAATTGCCACTGTGAAATGAAACATAATCCTACATGTACAAAACTACTTGCATTAAGTCTGTCCTGAAGCAAAATATATGATTTTCTGTTTACTGTGACATCCTGGGTTATGCGTGAAATCACACATGACAGGACATACAAAGGTCATTACGCTGTAGTGACGTCAAAACAACGCCTAAGATTCAATAAATGTGAAAGTATTTCCACGCTTAATTATGTGATATTCATATTTGATAATTGTTAATTTTAATGAAGTAAGGATGTGTCAATGCAATATTCCCTGGCTTCTTCAAAGATCAATATTGAGCTTTAAAAAAGAAATCAGACATTTGGTCTGCGCCTTTCATGCAATACGAACTGAGAATTACCAATTCAAAACTGAATTGCATGGTGGGATTTTAGATTGATCAACAAAAATAGCCACTGAGCCTCAAGTGCCAACACATAACTTGCAAACGCTGTAAATTTCTGATTTGTACATTTAAATTTAACAGATAATTTTGATACTGTTCTTTTCAGATATTTTAAAGTTATCCACCATATTCCATAGGAAAAAATAATAGTGTCATGGCCAATTTGCATAATATAATATTTTAATTGTCTATATTTCATTTATTGTTATGATAATTAAGCGTTTATCCAACAGTGTTGTTAGCATCCCATTCTGTAATACTCTAGGGGAGAATCCTGTTGTCTTCCCCAGTTATTATATTTGACTAACTTTATTAATCTAAATTGTTTCTTAAATAGATTTCTCAACATAGCTATTACTATTCTGCTGAAATTTAATGTCATCTTCCAGCAATTGTCAAATTGTCTGAGTGTTCAAGTTTACCTGTCTATTACATGCATTGATGACTTAATGTTCACAAGTCAGGGAACAGTTTATTGGAATACATGTAAAAATATTACCGGTAATTTAATTAAAAATTGGATTATTATATGTACATGTGGGGAAAAAAAACCTGCAATCAAAATGCATGTTTGTAAATATGCACCATGTTACCATGACAATAATTTATGGCAGTAAATACCATTAGTATATTACATGTATCCCGCGACCCACAATGACCTCGGCAGGCAGGTGCAAGATATTAACATGTGTATTATTTAGTCATAAATTGTACTTCTGTGATTTGTTATAAGACGGTCGTCTTTGCTTTTACATAAGCACTGTGTTTGGGAATATATGTAGCAGAGCTTGAATGTCGAGAGGGCAGCCATTCTCAAGGCCAAAAATGTAAAAAAAAATGATTTGGCATCATAGGAATATTTTGAAGAATATCAAAGGACACCAAAGAAACTTGATGGGCAACAATGCAATAATGGCTTTGATGCCTCTGTGAAATTCCAGCCTTAGAATAGAATAGAATAGAATAGAAAACAATAAACCATGTCAAGACCATCATGGTAAAACACAACCATAAAAGAAATAAATAGACAAAACAATTGAGAAACATAAAATATGATATGAACTACTTTTAAGCTAGTAAATATTATTGTCTAGATAAATATGTCTTTGCTTGAAAGTATTTTCACAAATATCCCATTAATGATGTCACAGCAAAATAAATGTATGTTGTATTTACATGTACCACCAAAGAAAATAGTCTGGTCTCATTCATTCTATATAATATCTGCATTTTGTCTAGATATTAACATTATCTCTATTTTGTGTATTTTTAGGTGAACTACCTTTGACTATGGATAGCCTAGTATGACATCAGAGAGTACAACTAAAGAACCAACAACACCCGGCAGAATTATTACTCACAATCTTCATTTGCTACTTGACGATCCTCCCCTCGACGACGTTGGGCATGACTTCAATAAGAACGATAATAATAGGCTAAATCAACAACATTTGCATACAAGTTTCGATAATAGTAACCGTTCTTTGAAACGTAATGAGCAACCAGAACTAATGCTGCAAGACAGTTTGGATGTAAGTTTGGATCGCTATGACGGATTTGAATATCCTGGAATACCACGTGATTCATTGGATGATAATTACCGTATAACGAACAATATTGATTCACAAAAATTGGAAATGGGTCCACCTTCAATGGAAACGAGAAATCCTCTTGAGAATTATGATTTTCAGAATGCACCTGAAGATGATGACCCTTATCGACAGCAACAAATACAGTTAGGAGGTGGTAGCATGCGTAGTCAACCATCGTCCGCAAACAGACGTGTAAGGTCGGGAAATTCTCGTATCAGTAGTAGCCATAGTCAACACCCTCCTCGGATTCCTTCTGCAAAAAGTACTGGACACTATGGATCGCCAGGAAGTCGGCATGGAAGTGCTGGCCGTCCAGGATCAAATGGTAGCAGAGATAAAAATCCAAGGAGTCATTCTGGGAGTAGGCATAGTAGCAGGAATAATTCCGGAGGCAGACTCAGTAGTGGCAATCAGAGACAGTTGAGAAGTAGGGGGAATAACGAGCGATATCCATCTGCAGGAAGTCGTAGAGGTGAAATTCCAAATCAGGAAACGTTTCCTTCATATGGTTATCCACAAGACATTGATCAAAGTTATGTTCCTCCACAGCAGCTTGGTGATGATGATGATGATGATGGTGGTGAAGATGAGGAGTACAGAAACCCGATAACAAGTAGTCATGACGATGGCAATGAATCAGATACTTTAGATGCCGAGGAACAATATCAACGGCAGCTCAAAGAACGTGTAGAGAAATCTTTGTTGGATATTCGACGGATTGAAGATGAGGAGAAGGAGAATATGGCCAAAGATTATGTGGATTCATTAGACGGGGACAATGCAAATGATCCTGACATTGATACAGGTATGCTTGTTGATTCTTTAGATACTGGTGCTAGATATCAGAAAGATGAAGAGGAAGAAGAAAGATTTGTTGTGCAGCCAACTCCACAGAAGGTGCATCGCGATGACCAAGACAGTGATCCGGAGGACGATTTTTTTTTAGCCCCTGGGAAACGAGCATCTGCTCGTGCACAGCCGCGGCATGGGTCATCAACTCAGCCACGAAGTGCAGACGACTTGGATAAAAGACAGAGTTATATACGCGAACAGAATCAACAAAAACTCCTGAAATATGGTGAGCATCATAAAACAGATGATCCATCATTGAACGATCCTGCTGCGGATGTTCAGGTTGAGTACATCTCAGAGGAAAGTGATGAAGAAGAAGAACATTTTGTTGATGAGAAAGGCAGTCCAATTGACAACAGAGGACAATCGCTGCACATATCACATCTCGGAAGTGCTACCTCGTTAAGTTTGAGTGAGCGAAAGAGGCAGTTTGTTCTGAAATCTAGACCTCCCAGGCCACCCAGTCATCCCAATTCGGGTGAGCCTTCACGAAGGAAGGTGAGTGGTGCGAGAAATGTTACTCCAGAAGGTGCTGGAGTTGCTCGAAAAGGTTCATCTGGCACACAAACGCAAAATGCAGTAAGACAGCAAGCACCTACACCTCCACAAGATAAATATCCTGCTTTTCAGCAACAAGATCACAATCAAACACAAGAAGAAGTATACAACCCCAAACCCCTATCACAACCACATTTACAGCAACAAGGTAGACAGGTCTTCCCATCGCAACGCCAGAATGAAACTGGCATGCAGACACAGACACAGCAGCATTATCAGCCACCTCCAGAGCAAATGAACCAATCACAGCAGTCACCTCCAGGACCACTTCAGTCGTCTCCCCAGCAGCAAGTGCAGCAGATGCCACCACATCAGCTTTCGCAGCAGACACCGCAGCATCAGATACAGCATATGCCACAGCAACAGGTTATGCAGCAGCAAATGCCGCAGCAACAGGTTATGCAGCAGCAGATGCCGCAGCAACATGTTATGCAGCAGCAAATGCCGCAGCAACAGGTTATGCAGCAGATGCCACAGCAACAGATGCAGCAGTCGCCACCACAACAGAATCCTCAGCAGGTGCATCAAATGTCACCACAACAGCAGAATCCACACCAACCCCTGCATCAACAGCCACCACAATATTTTGAACATCCGCAATACCAGCAGTATAATGAGCAACCTCAACCCCAGCCTCTGGCGGCATATCCAAACCAATCATTTCAGCCACAGCACCAACAGGTCTATCAGCACCCACCACCAGGTTCACAATTCCAACAGCCATATTCTCAGTCTAATCAACAAGACCCATATTACCAAAATGCCCAGACTTCACCTCTGTATCACGGCTACGAGTCAGCATCACAGCAGCCCATGAGAAGGATGCCTCCTCAGCATCAGCAGTATCCACAGCAACCATATCATCAAGATGACAGTTTTCTTCCTCAGTCACAGGGAATGCACCAAAGAAGGGACAGTTATGATGATCCACGGTAAGCGTACACTCACTTACTGTTTTTTGTTTTCAAATATTACTGGAATAGAACAAAAATAGCGAAATTGCCCATCTGGTAATCCCTTACTCACAAATTTTAGTATAGTATATATGCTACCCTATCTGTCTATATATAGGTTTCAGATAATATATAGGTTATTAAAGTAGCATGCTTCGTAATGTTTAACGTTTTACCCCTTTCTATCTACCTCAACCTTTTAGTGCCATAATTTTGTTGCAACATTTTTATGTATTTTCCATAATTTTTTTGAATAATTTTAGACAAAATTGACACAACATTCCCTTGCCTTCAGATTTTGATTATTATTTTGGACACAAAAAAAATTATTTTGAGAAAGATGACAATATTTGAAAAGGGTTAAATTTAATCAAATATACATACTGTAAAACATGTTGAAAAAGCGACATGCAATTTTAGCAAATTGTGGTAAATTGATTTGTTAATTGACGTAATGTTGATTTAGCGAATCTCTCTTGTCGTTTTTGATTTCCTGTTTTCACAATACTTGTCCGTCGCATGCCAAAACAAATGCGCAGTTATCACCTCCATAAAAACAATGAAAAACTGTCAAGTGTAATTAGGTGTAATTAGGAAGCGCCCCAGATTTTTATGTTCCGGATTACTGTATACATATCCCCAAGCCTTGGCCATTTTGCATTTATAATAAAGTCATTAGCGACATCTTAAATTAGCGAATCAGTTCTTTCGCTAAATTCGCTAAAAAGACATGTTCGTGAAAAAGACATGTTTTACAGTATTCTTTAACAATACAGGTTTTCTTTACTTTTCACAGGTACAATCAATTGCAAAGACAAGAAGAATTTGAGCAAGGAAGGAGCAGACCTTACTATGGCCAGGGTCAACCACCACAACAATTACAGCAGATACCTGCACAAGAATATGGATACTACCAAAACCCAATTGAAGATCCCCATAGACATCTCCAAAAACCTCCTGACACAGGGTATGATCAGTACTCCGAGGAGCTGCCAAATAATCAAGGTGTGATGAGCAATCGGTCTGAAGAGAATGGAAGAACACAGGGACGTAAAAGACGTCCGCAAAAGTATCAGACTACCCCACCTCCAGCACCGAACTTTATTGATATGAACAAGAATGTTAAACGTAAACCACAACAGAAATCTTACAAAGAAATGTATCAGATGAAACAGAGGGAGACGCCGCCATTGAACCCCCACCAACCTCTACCTAGCATTTCCCGGGAAAGTTCAGTGGACGTCAACCCGGAAGACATGTGGGCTCAAAGATCAAAAAATCTGCAAAAAACTAAAAGCTCTAGTGGTAAGCAAGGTAGTTCCAAAAAGAGTGCTAAACAACCATGGACAAAACAATTAGTATCGGAACAGAGAGGTGCTGTGCCGATCAGAACGCAGTCTGAGACGTCTCTGCAATCAAGGAAAAAGATTGCTCCTATAAATCCTTCTCCACGGACCAGTGCCCAGAAAGTAAATCTTGATATTAATGTGAATATAAAAAGAATGGATCAAGCTGAGGAGAATCTTGACATTGACGTTTCAGTCACACCACGGCCGGAATATCCAATCTATGACAATCCTTACATTAATCCAAATATGCGCGAACCACCTCCACAAAACTTTGGACAACCGAAATTCGGTGTGCATAACCGAAACGGTAGTGGAGCAACTTATACGGCTAATAGTCACATGAGGACCTACTCACAGGATTCTCAGGATGCATACCCGGCACCACGATATCAAGACGGTGGTGGTGGACAAGGGGGTTATGATGGATTAAGTCAACAGCAGTTTTATGAGGAGACACCGCGGTTGTCTTACACACATCCCCTAGATGGACTTAATAATCCATCACATGGTGTGCTGCCGGGGATTGATAAAGGTAATACATTCTCCTACATTTGTTTCACGGCTTGAAATTAAAATTTTTTACTTGGGCACTAATTGCAAAAGTTGGTAGCCGGAGAATATGTTGAGTTGTTCTTCAGTTGTTTGGTGCTTAATGCCATGCACACAATTGTGAATATGTAGAAATAACCAACTCACTTTGTGTAGGACAACCCATACTTTGTTATTTTGATGTAGTATCAAGTAGAGAGAAATTTTTAACTGTTTGAAAATTGTTAGTACCGGTAGTCCAATTGGACTACTAATGTTGGAAAAATTGTTAATTACTGTGTCTTGACTACTCCTATCATCTCGTCCTGTTGCTAGATCACTGAAGTTGCTAAAAAAAAGCTGAGTTTCAGGTAGACTAGACTCTATACAGCCTTGCTATGATGCCAGTAATATCTCATTACCATTCAGATTTATGCAAATGTATGCACACCCTATGAGACATAATATACTCTATGTTCATTGTCAAGTTAAAATGTTTTGCACAGGGAATTACATTGAAAACATTACAGTGTAGACATTGGTGTCCCATGAGTCCATGGTGCAAGTCAAGGAATTTTGTTCTGAAGGAAAACATTTTGCACATTTCTTTGTATTTTTCTATAATTTCTTAGTTAATTTTGTACCAAATGGACATAACTTCCAATTTGCTACGAGTGTTGATCAACAATTTTGACAAAATATGGAAAAAATTGTGCATGATTTTAATTTGTGAAAAATAACAAAACTTGAATTTGTGACTCAAATTTTTCTTACAGTTGGAAGGTCAAGCAGAACAAGTCAAGAAGATGGATACTTGGCTAGACTACAAAAACAGAAATCACCGCCCCAGTATAAACAATATACCTTGAAAGATTACCGTAATCTCAAATCCGATATCAAGATGGGTGGTCTGGGACCAGACATAGAAACTATGCAACAAAGGGTGAGCTGTAATTATATTAGAGTTATAATTTGTAAGGTTGCTTCTGATTGGCTGTACTGCTGTGAAATATTAATATTTAGAACACCTGAGCAATGTTGTACAATAGACTGTGGGGTGTGTGATTTCATTTGTTGATGCATTTTTAATAGATTTTATGCCTGTTTCCCATTTAAGATGTTTTGTGATTAGTATTTCTGGATACCAAGATATCAATTCATATTTTGTCTTGCTTCGTAAATATTATGTGTATGTATATTATTGTATATCTGCCAGCATATCATCATATGTTATTGTCGTGATGTTGCTGTATTTCACAGGATTTCTACTTGGTACATCCTACCTTTTTAGCTCCGCTGTCGACTTTGTGGAGCGGAGCTTATCATATGAGTCCGTCGTCGTCCATGTCAATGTTTTACTTCTTCTTGAAAACTACAAGCCTGAATGCTTTGATACTTGGTGTACTTGTGTATATGTACCTTGGCTAGACCTCTCTCAGATTTGTTCATTTCATGATCATATATTTTTGTCATTTTTGGTAAAAAGTGATATTTTCAACTTCTTGTTAAAAACCACAAGTCCAATTGCTTTGATATTACATATATAGGTACTACATGTGGACCATTCTCAAATTTGTTCATTTTGTAATGATATCGTCAATTCTCTAATTTTGGTGAATATTTTTGTCATTTTTGGTAAAAAGTGATATTTTCGACTTCTTGTTAAAAACGACAAGTTCAATTGCTTTGATATTATTACATATATAGGTACTACATGTGGACCTCTCTCATATTTGTTTATTTGTAATGATATCTTTAATTATCTACAGTAATTTTGGTGAATATTTTTGTCATTTTTGGTAAAAAGTGATATTTTCTTGTTAAAAACCACAATCATTTATGATGAAAAATGATATTTTTGAATTTTTGTTGAAAACAGCAAGTCCCATTGCATTGATACTATGCATATTGTTCATTTTCTAATGATATCTTCTGTTCTATAATTGAAATGTGCATTGCTAACAGTGGTGCTATCTCAGCTGAAAGGCTGATTGTTTGAAAATGCAAATTTCAAATATGGAAAAATTAGGCAATATTTCTAAGATGGCAGACATGATTGAAAATGAAATTTATACATTTTTGACTCCCATGTGCGAAGCACATAATGGAGTCTTTGCAGTTTGTGTGTTTGTATGTGTGTATGTGTGTCCGACTGTTCCACTGCTATCTCAAGAACCATACATCGGTTTTTGATGAAACTTGGTGCATAGAT